TATCTTCCTTTTGTTTATTTGTAAATATTGTGTGCTGTCTGGATTAATCAACTAATTTTCTATTATTATAATCTTGTACATTCTCATTATCATTATTATCAATTAATGTTTTTCAATTTTTTATGATATCAGTACCTGTCTTAGGCCATGATAGACGCAAAGCCAGAACATGAGAATAGCGCACAAGAAAGTCGTTTGCAGAATTGCATCCAACATTCCCGGTACCCAAGAATTCATCAAGAACGTCATAGGAAATAGTGGATCTATTCAATTTAAAATCAATAAAACATTGATAACATGTATATTGATTTAAAAAATCGGAATCTAGAAAAACTTACTATTGTACAGAATTAGTAATGGAAGAAGTATAGAGATCCATTTTTGCTCTATCGACCAATCGTGCAGTGGATATTTTCTAAGCGAATGGCCGAACCAACACTGAAAGCGATATATTTTTCCTTTCAGTTTCTAGAACAGATTCTAGATATTCGTGGAAAAAAACGAGCCATGTTGAAAAACAATCGATAAGAATCTATTTTACGAAATTTCCGGTCATCAAATTTAGGTAATTAATTAAACAAAGTATATTTATTTTATTAAATTTGTTACTCGAAACCGACACGGTACAATAAGAAGTTAAACTTCTTTATGTTTTATAATGTGTATCTATATATAACTCCTAAAATAATATAATAGAAATATAAAGTTACATTTTAAAACTAATCTTTAATTTCGATCAATCATCTAATCTTCCGTCTGTTCAATTTTGAAGAAACGAAAAACCTTTGACTCGTTTTAATCTATCTTCTACATCATTATCATAGTGGTCATGAATTACCATTACTCCAAACGTGGCCAACAAGAAAATCAGTCGGAACCAGATTTCTATTTGCGTGAATGCTGGATTGTAGTTCTTAAACTGTGAACAGGAAAAAATAGGAGAAATGTAAAGAAAAGATCGGCATTTCGGAATTATTGTATCCAAACAAATGTAATCATTTCATGCAGTGCTTACTGACGTAGAATGTGAGTTCTCGTATCGTGTATCGTTGATGAAAGCTCTCGAGTCCATGGAAGCGGACAGTAATTATATAGTAGCTATAATCGAGGAATCCTAGGTGGACGACAACTAATTCCTCGCAAGATTGCCTTTCACACTTCAAATGTCTCGTTCTAGAAAACAATAGCAATCGTCATTTCACGTATTATTACTCGATCACGAGAGATCCATCTGTATTCATTTATGCATTTCACTCGATAATATAATACAAACTTCATTTTTTTATAGTTTTTTTCATTGTGTGTTATTAAAGCAACAAATATATCGTTAAAATAGAAAAAATCTTTTTTATTAATTACAATCTCGTTTTATGCTTCAAATGTAATTAAAATTTCGAAAACGCAATATAGCATTTTTACCGATTATGTCCAGCCTCTGGAGGTAGTACGGACACGAGCTTACGATCAGCAGTGATACCATCTATAGAAACGCTTACTTGAAATCCTTTATCGTACCTCTCATCTACAAATTATCGGCCATAATTAACGTTTAAGAATAACAAAGTTGTAAAATATAGATAGAATAAATATAGATAAAATAAAAAAAATAATGATCTAAATTAAATTACAGATATATTTGCAGGATTTTTGTTATCTCAATCGTAGTCGTACATCATATAAGAACTTTAATATTAAAAAATTAAGAAATTTTGTCTTTAATCTATTTCATTTTTTACTAAATACATCTATATAAAAAGAAAGATTTTTTTTTTATTGACATCGAATGATCATCATGTATGATAACATCTAAAAATCTAATTAAATAAATATCCTGTTGTGTAACAAATTTTACGTTCCATAAATGCTTTTCTCTATTAGTTCAAACGATTAGAAATCATACGATACCATCGTTATTCGATGTTGATAGCTTGGCAATTACCCATAATTGCTGGCTATACGTGGACAATAAAGGTGTCTTCATGATGAATGGACCAGTGGCCATCTCAGTACCGTTTAAATGCGCTTTCTGTTCGCTAGTCGACGTTATAGGCGGTCCTTTAAAAGCATTAATGCAACGATATCTTTCAATATATTTGATGAGGTTAATAATAGTAGTGCTGTCGACTTTTTTTTATTCTGAAGTAAGCGGAAAATTATAGCAATGATACTCACCGGCGAGGCCGATAAAAACTGCTAATCCAAAACACGCAAAAAAGGCAACAAATACCATGACAAATTCCCTTTTATGCATCGAATACAAACGCATTTGCACGGATCTATGAAGCAAATGTATACGAGAGTTTAAATTAACAATATACTGATGCATACAAATTGTTGTTATGTGTATACAAATTCACACAAATAAACAGTGAACGTATTAATAATGAAAAAGCATCTTTATTTTACATGTATAAATACAAATGTTGTAAAATTGTCAGATTTATATATATATATATATAATTTTGAAAAGTTTGTTCATTTTTTTCTAATTAATTCCTCTATACTCGTTTATTAATTGATAAGAAAAGGAGTGAATTATAATTAAAATACTTTCAGTAAAATATTATTTAATGAAGCAGCTTTTGTGTCGTTGCTTCTATTATTACTGAATTTTCGATTTTAAACGATCTTCCGGAGAGATCACGTACCTTTCGCAACGGTCATGATGATAAGCCGGCGCGATATATTTGTTAAATTCGCTAAAAATGTCACTAAACTGCGATAATGCATTTCTGACTTTGAGGTTCCAACCAGCGGATGGAAGATGATATGAGTATCCTAATCCGGGTCCATCCATCCTTTAAGGATACTTTTTCCTATAATTTAATATACCGATTGTATATCTAATATTTCTTTTATCTTACTGCCAAAAAAAAATTCATCAAACATACGTAATATAATTTGATTTTTACACATTTTATATATTTCTGTATCATTAACATATATTTTCCACCTTAATCTTTTTAAGCATGGCACAAATATATTTTTTGTAGAGCTTTTACAGAAAACATAAGTTCGACATATTGTAAGAAAACACTTTATAAAATTTTATGAAACTATTTCTAAACATTGAAGAACATATTCTATAAGCACATATATAATTTCTACATAGAATTTCTGAAAAAAACTTAGAAAATCTAAAAGATTATGAAGTATTTATGAAAAAATGTGTATAAATTTCAAATACGAAAAATTCTGAAGTCACAAAATTCTTTTGTATAATTTGATTTATACATTTAGATCCAGGAAGGAACTGGACAAGATCAATATTAAAGAGTTTTACAATTGCAAAGCTACTTCCTCTGCTGAACGCAGCCATTATTTTTTATCTAATTTGTTCGCATAATATCAAAACAAGATAACAATTGCTAACAAAGAGAAGATAATGTTTAATACTTTAGATATACGTGGAATATCTATTATTTTTTAATCTAGAATTTATTCTTTATCAATATATTTATTAAAATGACGAATTTAGGTTTCATAAATAAACGCTGGATATTTGCTATGTGTACGATGCGTGCATGTATAAACTTACCTTCCACACTTTATTGTGTGTAATAGACACTACTTCTATCTGCAGTCTTGAAAGAATTTGGCGTTAGCATAACGCATACAATTCACAAGCGATTTCATGAGTGAGATGCTGTATCAGGCATGAGAGATGGTGAGAAGAATTGTCGGAGATATAATCGTTACGTATTTCCAACTGGAGCTACAATACGGGAGTGACTGCACAAGCGTACTGCGTACGATATACACTGACTATTGATTTTTCACTCCAGATTTACGGAACAGGGTTGCTAACTGGATATTGGGGAGCGTTGGAGACAAGCGATATACAGGTCTAACAATTAATGAAAAAACTCTCGTATAGCGGCAAAATTAAATGGAGTAGAAGTGTCCTCTATTATTTTGCAATTTATTTTACGATCGAACAGGCGGATATGTACTCATTCGGAAATCTTTTATTTATTAAATAATATAAATAATAGTAAAAATAAATAGTAGTAGATATAAATAATATAGTAATATATTCGTGTATATATAGCCAGATAACAGGATTCAATATTGCGTTATAGATGTCGTTATCATATATAGCAACGAGTCTTTTATTAAAATAATCAAACTTAATTACATATATTTTTACAAGTAGAAGAAAGGGTTTCTTAATATAATGTAATTTATTAATAGCAGAAACACGGAGCAATATATCGAAGGATGGAACAGAAAGAGTTAAAGTTTAGGTCTGTAGGAAATAATAGCGACACATATCTGTGATAAAGACAACAGACACTGCTTTCAGGGGTGTATTATAGAAAATAGATATAAGATTTGTGATTTAAGTTGTAGAAGAGAAGAATAAAAGAGACTAGAATGTGAAAGAACAAATGCTAGGACAAGAGTAAAATTGTAAATAACAATAATAAAATAAGCATGAACAAGTAGGTAAATAAGTAAACAAAGGATTTAAAGGGTTTCAAGACTAAAAGAAATAAAGGTTTAGGATAAAACTAAAGATAGAAACAATTATAGTAGTTAAGTAAAAATATATGCAGTAAGGTAATATAAGTGAAGTAATATATGCAACCGCGCGCAAATGAGATATGGATGAGTAAATGGTTTATGGCTATCTATATATTTGTAAACCAAGTCCTTTCCTGGCTTGTATATGCTGAAGAGTAATAAATATATTCTATTCACATATTTACGAATATTTATAATATATTCCGATTACATATTTAATATTGAATAAGATGTTTTAGCAAGTAAGTGTTGAAAGGATTAAAAAAAATAAGAACAGATTTTCTTTAATTATAAAAATAATTTAATATTACTTGTATATAATCTATAATATGTAAGATACTCATGTATTCATTTAAAAGCATTGTCAATAGCAATTAATTAATATTAAAAAATTTTATTTTGCTATAATTATTATTATCTGTTTATTTACAAATATATACAAAATATCTGTTAACAAAGCTATTTAACTGTGGCTTAAGACTCGTTGGGAATATTTTAATCCCAATACTTGATTTTCCCATCCCACCCAGCGGTAGCAAGTCTAGAAGGCTCATGTGGATGCCACAATACATCAATGCACACCCCATCGTGCGCCTTCCACTTTTTGTATAACTTTGTCGTTTTCCAGTCCCATATGTAGCATTTACCATCTGCATCGCCCGACACCAAATAACTAAAATAAAAGAATACGTATATTACTAAAAATTTAATTATTATAAAAATAATCAAATTTTAAAGGTATATATTGCATATATCTTTTTCACTACAAAAAAAAACGCACACTTTTTTTACATATTATAAATAAATTACCTCATATCTGGTGAAAAGTCTAAACCACAAGCATATCCCGCAACCATGTGTCCTGTGAAGGTCTTCTTTCGATTCATTTTGAATCTATTCAACGCAGAGAATATAACGATCTTATTATCCATGCTTTGACAAGCGAGCCATTTTTGATTTCGTGACGGCGTTACCGCCGGCATAGAATGCATGGATGGATCAGCTATGTATTTCATATCTACAGGAATGTCCCTATAAAAGAGAACTTGTTAATAATAGATCAACTCCATTCTTCAAAAATAATTTTTTACATATATTAGTGAATTTGTACCATTCCCAAACTCGAAGACTTTTATCATCACTGGTTGTGACGAATCGTCTATTTTCGTCAACAAATGTGATAGTGTTTACAGCACCCAAGTGTCTATCATATTCTTGTGTTATTTCGCCAGATCGTATATCCCACTGCAACAGATATTAAATTATTAATATTTAAATAAAAATAATTTGTTTTTTCGCTGGTGTGTTGCATTTTTATTATAAAAAAAAAATATATATATATATATATATGAGATCATTTTCGTGTGCGCGTGCGTGCGCGCATCCGTATCATCGAAATCTTAAATTTTATTAGTACGTTGATAAATTAATTTTTTTACTTACACAAATAATCTTTTTATCGCTGGTACCAGCTACAAACAGATGCTGTTTATCTGGATCTGGATTAAACTTAGCACAATATGGAATTTTCCTACTTGTAAAGCGACTAATACAAGCTCCCGTTTCTGTGTCCCAAAGTTTCACATAGCGATCGTAAGCCGCTGATAAAAATCGTTTGCCGTCATTGTCAAAACTTATGTCCCGTACAGCTTGTCGATGTCCATAGTATGTTCGAACGCATCTTCTGTCTTTATATACTTCCCACAACTATGCAATAAGATATATTTGTGATATTTATACAGGAATAATATGTTAACACAGATAAAATTAAGATAATTGTTTCGTTGAATACCTTCACTCGACAATCCATACTGCAAGACAGTAATAAATGCGCTGTACGTGGAAACCATCGAATTTGCGAAATGCCTTTTGTGTGGCCTTCCCACGTGTGAATTTGTGCCTTTGGCAAGAAGCAACGATCGGGTGGTGATTCTGATCTGAGATTTACGCCAACATCCTGAGGTGCATGCAAGAATGAGCGTCCTTGATAATCCACACTATCTTTGACTACAATATAAAATTATTAAATATTATAAGTACATTTTAAAATGACATTCATGTTGAGATTAAATATTATCTTCATAAAACTAGATAATTAAATTCTAAAAGCTATTTTATGTATGAAACAATTTCGTTATTAATAATAAATATACTAATATGTTATATTGTAATATACAATATAAGATATATATGTATAAAGACATTACTATGTAACACTGTCTTCTCCTCGAGTGGTTTCTCCTCCGTCTGTTTTCCTCGTTTATTTCGTTTGGCTAAGATTTCCTCCAATTCAGCAGCTTCCTCATCACTTGGCTTGATTACTCGTTTCTCATCAATATAACCACCCCAAGGACCCAAAAAACCTTCTATATCTGATGCATCATTGTTTCTATGCCGCTTTCGTTTGTCCGAAGGTCTTAAGGTAGTATTTTCAAAAACAGTCTTACCGCCTGATTCTTCTGCAGCTTCTGTTGCACCAATCATAATTCTGCCTTCATCTGCACTACCGTCTACAGTTGGATCAAGTGCATATCCTAATAAGAAAAATTTAGACAAATTAACTAAAACTTGAATATTAAATTTATTAACAAAAGGTATGGATGAATAAGGAAAATTGTAAACCAAGTCTCCTTCTTCACTTGTAAATATATGCTGAAGTAAATAAAAATTCTATTCTATTCTATTGAATTTATTAGATTTAAGTTCAAATATCTAAGATACTCAAATATAAATAAACATTTTGTTTGATTATAAGAGGTATAAAATAAAAATAGTTTTGAGAATCCAGATTCTAATGAGATAGAAGAATTATGAATCATCAACTGTATATTATATTATACATACCATAACTGGCAAATGTTCTCCTTTGATTTTCAAACTGAAATTCACTTATATGTGCACGTTCTACATATCCAGACAACATATTTTTCACCGCACGTTGCTGCTGCGTCTTAAATGGATTTTCTGGTCCTACCTCAGGTCCAAAAAGTTCTTCATATTTCGGATTATGTGTAACTTCTGTTGCAGTCGAGTCTATGTGTTTTACACACAATTCTGTTCCCTAAATAATATCGATATAAATGACTGTTTATTTATTCTTTATCAAAAAGAAGTAAGAATACTTGTAAAATGTTGGTAATAATAGTGAGCGTGTTTTTCATTCAGCGACACAAACATCATTTTATCTTTTGTAATATTCAACAAAGATAGACCGATACTTGTATCACCAAATAAAAAGCACCCATAACCTTAAAAATGATAATTAAAAATGAACGAACGTAAATACTTACAGTAGGTACGACTTCCGGGGCAGAACAAATTTGTAGATTAGTCGTGAACGCGAAGTCGACATTTTCTGTCTCACTACTCTCACTTTCGTCGCTGTTACCATAATCTTTTAGCGCAAGCATAGTTTCATACATAAAAGATAGAGAAAGAGAGAGAGAGACCAGGAATCCAGGAAACCGAACTTATATGGACGAGGTCCTGAAAAAGCGTGATCAAAAGTGAGTATTTGAATTATTTCGATCTAGATGTCGCTTTTGTTTCACGACACTAAGGGCCTCTTTCACCAACGCCGATTAACTTAATCGACGATTAGTCCATTGGAATTGACGAATCGCGTCTGTCGTCAAAACTAAATGATAAATGCGATTGGTCAATTCCAATGGACTAATCGTCGATTAAGTTAATCGGCGTTGGTGAAAGAGGCCCTGAGGTTCAATTGCTCAATCGAAGTCGGCAACACTTTCAAAAATATAAAATAGAAAGCATCCCGATCCTTCAAAACGCGGCCGAGTAAAGACGGCCGAGTGGTTCTTCTGAACTCTCCTGCGATATATTGCCTGGTTTATGCTTCGGTCTTAAGGCTTAATCCTAAAATTCAGCCAATAGAGTTCAAATTTCGGTTAGAACTGGCAGCTTTATTGGTTGAATTTTAGGATCTTGGGATTAAGATCTGAAGCATAAACCAGGCATATGAAAACATATTTATAAAATCTTTTATTTGAAATAAACTCAGTGCGATTGACTCGCGATCTGTAGACCCGAGTTCAATCCCACGTGCGTCCAAAACGCGATTTTTCGCGTTTAATGAGCCAAAAAATGGCTCTACCTGATGATCAAAAGATCTCTATCTGATCATATCAGCGCCGTTCGAATTCGGCGTTAAATTGTAGGTCGTATACATCCAGCAAGGGGGTCTATTCTTGAAAAGAAACATATGCGAAAGTCTAGGGAAATACTATAGTATACGCGTTACGTATACTCTAGTATCTCCCTAGACTTTCGTATGTGTTTCTTTTTCAAGAATAGAGCCCCAGAGTAGATATACATATGTCTCTAATATCTTCCTGAGGTAGGATTCTGTAGATCAATGACCCACAAATCTGAAAACAATTTGATTCGAGAAACGAATATAGGCCTCGGACAAAAGTGGAAGAGGTCTGGTAGACGTCCTATGCTCCACATAAGGAGATAAAGTATGCTTTCCTTTTAGAGGACACACTCAACACAAACATCGTTCTATCTTTATCATTCGTTGAATGTTAAGAAGGATAGAACGACGTTTGTGTCGAGTGTGTCATCTAAAAGGAAAGCATACAAAAGGAGTCCATCATCCTTGTTTAACATTTGGTGGACAACAAAGATAAAATGATATATTGTGTGCATGAAGAAAGATATAAGGAGACTCCACTCGGTCTCGCCAGTCTACAAGACATGAACCCATTTTAGGTTTCGAGTTCCCCGTTTCCGATTCTCGACACTCGCAGCGCTCGTGAATTTAGTAGTGCTGCGCATAATGAGTGCGAGTAAGAGAAATGATCATTTCTCTTACTCGCACTCATCAGAATCGGAAGCTGAACTCGAAACCTAAAATGGGTCCACTTTTATTTTACGGAGTGGAGTCTCCTTATATCTTACTTCCTGATTGTGTGCTTCATATATGAAACGGAACGCAACCCGTAGACATGTTGTTTTATTTAGCTCTCACTTCATAACATTATAACAAAAGAGAGAAGGTAAATCACCATGTCCACGGGTGCGTTCCGTTTCATACATGAAGCACATAATGTATCATTTTTGTCCATCAAATGTTAAACAAGGATAATTGATGTATTATGCGCATCATGCGCGAAATATATATAAATATTTTTATAATTTTATAAAAATCTTCAAAAAATTTTTTGGCAGCTTGTTCTAAAAACGTTTGTCTTCTTATTGACTTTTGACTGCATCATAATTTGTCTCGATCGTGCCTCTTCTATTTCGAACTTCGAAGTCTATCGCTTGTATATCTGGCATCATGTCTTGCATTTCTTTAATTTCGTTTTTCAGATCTTCTATATGTTTTGTAAGTTTGTCTTTCTTCTTTTTTGCATCTGTTTCTATTTTATTAATGTGAGATATTTCATCCTTCAATTTGCTTTCATCTGGCAAAGATTTAATTTCTTCTTGCAGTTTTTCCAATTTTACAGTGTCAGAATGAATAAGCGAGATTCTGTCTCAATGCATTGCTTCATCAATATTTCTTTGAATGTTTTTATCAAAGTGACCTTTTCTAGCATTACATTCATTATCTGTGGCTCTAGTAATCCTTTTTCTGGAAGCTTCAATTCATCGAAATCTACACCAATGTCGTTATCAATATACATATATAAAGACTTCCTTATTATATTCTAATATTGCTTTATTGAGATTATTAACGAAAGTCGCTAATTTGATATCTAAAGTGTATGATTCTTTTTGGAAATCTTTCAAATGCTCATCAAATTGGTGTGTGTAGTTTTGAATCTCTGTACATTTGTTAACAATGTTTTCTTTTTCAGTCTTAGACATTGGTTGATTTTTCACAATTGTGATTAATTCTTCGTATTGTATACATTTCCTATCTGAATTTGTTCCTTTAAAATTTTGCGTTCTGCATTTAATTGATCTGTCTCAGCGGAAACCTTCTTTATATAATCTTCCATAGTTTTAATATTGTTTAAATGTTGAGACTCCTTGGCACGCAAAGACACTAACTTCTGTTGTAAAATATTCAATTTTTTCATCAAGTTTCTATGATTCTTTTTCATGCATTTGTAATTTTATTTCTTCTTCTTCTAATTCTTTTTGTACCTGAGCTATATCATCATCAGTAATGCCTTGCTGAACTAAAACATTTTGCAGATATCATTCCCACAGTTCTGCTTCTTCATCGAGTTTTTCGTCGTTTCAAGCTTTGTAATTTGTAACACTCCAACAGTGCTTCAAACTCCGTACCAGCGTTAGTGGCGCCTCTATCCGTGTTCCCCATGTAAATGAACTAAATGCATGGATGCATGTCATTCACGCGCAAACTCGCGAGCGCATATGACACGTTCTCGCTCGCGGCGGAGCAGCCGCGAGCCGTCCTGGGATTTAAATGCGTGTCAGTAGAAATAATCGCGTGAAACATAACGCGCGAGTGGGCGTGAGTGACCGATTAGGTCCATATGCGGTCCTACAAACGACGATAGTCGTATAGCAATGTAAGTATGGGAACGCGTAACGGATGTCGATGTGACTGTCGTGAACTTCGGCTCGGAAAAGAATATCCCATGACTTCCACCGTGGCTTCGGGATTATTGGGGCATCGCTTTCTACGATCTTTCCGCCGCGATCCGGATTTCGGGGTCGTTCCTCTCTAAGAAAATGTGGGGACAAGACACGTTCGGCCGGTGGGCGGATTGGAATCGCTTTAGCTTGTATCCGGGAACGTCATTTCGTAGCAAATAATGACTCACTGTACAGCGACTTGCAAGATTCCATGTGTTTAATTTTAGACGTAGATTTTATTCCAGTAAATCAGAAAATATGAAAATTATGTTTTTTTTTTTTAGTTTAACATTTTATTTTTCTTCACAGATGCTGTTATGTTGAAAAGAGTACCAAGTTGACAAATTTCACCACAGATAATGTGATTTTATAATATTTTTATCTTTCAATATATTTTTGTACTGTCAAGATGCACTTTTCTATACCAGATACTCAGGAATTTATAGATAAGGCTGGGAACACATATGTTGTAAGTTGATACAATTATTTATTACTTATTATATATTGTGTGATACTTAATTATTTATATAATAAAAATTTATTATAATATATGAACTATTAATTTATAGATTTATATTACATTATGAAATTATAGGGATATAATATTCATATCAATGGATTATTTCATTGTACTGCAAGATACAAACAACTATACAATCTGCATGTACAATTGTCAAAGGACCTGGATATGTTGTTACCTATATTTCCTCCAAAGAAGTTCTTTCCTTTGACTGCTACACAGCAAGAGGAACGGCGACTGGCTTTGGAGAAATATATTCAGTCCATTGGTCAAAATATAGCCATAAATAACTCAGAAATATTAAATGGATTTTTATTGAATGCTCAACAAGAAAGTGCAAATGATCTGTCCGAGCAGGAAACTTTAGATATATTTCTTTTGAGTGGATCAAAAATTTCATTAAATATTTTACCAGAAGAGCATTCTGGTAAAGTTTTAAAGGTATATATTATTTCTAATATAAATTAATGTGTAAATAACTTTTCATATAAACATGATAGTTGTTAAAATATATTCTTTTCTACAGAGGGTATATAAACATATAAAGTTAGCAGAAAAATACCATTTTCATTTTGCATTATTTATTATTACACAAGATGAGTTATCCGGTAGCATTGAAAGTAAGTATATATATTTTTATAGTTTATTATAACATACATACATATTTTGTTTTCTTTTTTAATATATGTATTTTATTTTTTTAATTAGTGATGCGGAAATTACAAAATTTTGAATCACCATTTATAACATACAAATATATGAGTTCTACGAGTACTACGCGAATTGTCCTCAGAAAAAATTACTGGGATATAGCATATGATGTTGAGTTATTGAAAGATCCGGTAACGTTAAACTTACTGTACATTCAAGCGGTTGCAGAAATTCGCAGCGGTTGGATTCCAGTTACCAAGGAGGCGCAACATCAATTGGAAAATCTGCAAAAATCTGAGAGTAGAAAAGAGGTACATTTATTGTGAAAGGCAAATAATATCCTCAAGTAATTTATGGTGTCTTTATTATTTCAGTACCTGAATGTAGTTCGTCTCTTGAAATACTATGGCTACATACAATTTGCACCATGTTATTGTGATTATCCTGAACGTAGCTCGAAAGTGTTACTTGCTATAGGTGAAAATGAATTGAATTTACGTGTATTATCGTCTGAAGAGCACGAAGTTGCGTTTAAAGTATCACGAATGCGATGCTGGCGTATAACTACTATACAAAATGTAAATGTTATGAATATTTTAGTGGAAATTTTATTTATACTGTTAATAAAAATTCTTAATATATCTAGGGAACGGATTATCATAAAGATAATAATGAGTGCAGTTTGGAATTATCTTTCGAATATCTGATTGCTAGGAATGAATTACAATGGATTACAATTGTATCCAAGCAAGCAATTTTAATGTCTGTTTGTCTGCAAACTATGATTGATGAGTTGTTGCAGAAATGTGTAGTTGGGAGTAAAACTCAGGTTGTTATATAAACTGTTTTAGATTATGTAAATGCAATCAAGTTTTCTCATCCATAAATGTATGTTATTTATAGACGGAGTCTGGAAAATCGTGGACGTATATTATGAGAGATGGCCAAAGTCGTACCATCACAGGATCGCCGCTGCAAGAATGTGTGAATAATAATCATTCTAAATCGGGACCAATTATAAAGAAACTTACTAACAAGTGGTCGGCTGTGATATCAAAAAAATCAGATGATTCAAGAGGTGTTGACAAAACTCAATCAACTGATTTCGATATCGTGGAAAATAATGTTTTTCATATGATAGGAGATGACGATTTATGAGCCAAATAAATTTTTGAGATTATGATGTGGAAGCATAGAGATAAAAAAAAATAATAGAATATGTTTTTTATCAAAACAATTTTTAAAAAAATATATATATATGTCTTTTAAGATATTTTTTACAAATTGTTGAAATACTCTTTCCAATTTAAAAATTAATGGTACGGGTAGTTTCCAAGACTTTGTTGAATGATGCATACTTAGTGTGTTTTGTATGTGATTAAAATGCATTTATATTTATTGATAACTTTTTATAGAACATTCTTTGTACATTTTATATACCGTCCAATTTCAATGATAACCAATCTGATATAAACTGGAAATGAACTTGCATCAAAATTTTATATACAAAAAATACTTGTGCACGAAGTACTTAATAATAGGATTAGTATTAATACGCTTCTATCATTAATAAAAAAAAACTAAAGAGATCAAACGCGCATAGTTTATATATAAATGTTTTATTATAATTAAACAAACTGATTGAAAAGGCAGCATGTTAATATTTGCTTTAGTCATTATCTAAACAAAATTATTAATAATTCTCGCTTCAATATTAAATAGTAATCATTCTATATATTGTTACGTTCTATTATCAGACTATAGTTTTCACTAAATCATTCACTCGGAAAACATACTTCTGTCTTCAGTCTCTATATTTCAGCCAAACACTGTAATAGATTATACAATACACAATACGAATGTAAAATTATGGAGTTGTCATAAAACTGTCATGATTAGATATGAATACAAAGCCATGTTTTCAAGTGGAAAAATAAAGACGGATTATTATGGATTATTGCCCTAATAAAATATGTAACTATAAATCCGTATTGAAAAGTGATTTCTAGCTAAGGCTAAATGACTGATAATCGTGTAGAAAATGCATTAGTGTACTTCTTTGTGACATTTTTCTATAAACTTTTGTCTTACTATTTTTACTCTTAAAACAGATATAGCGCAGAACATTATGGACATACGTCTTAAATTCAAGGAAGATTTTATAACAGCATAAAATGTAAAAATATAAAGTTTGTAAAGTTATAATTTGATGTAAGAATGCAATTTACAAACATTCTCATATTCCGACATATCGTATGTGAATTATAAAATGAGAGTACAATAAAATCATCACAATTTTAACAAATATACAAATACTGGAACGAATATGATCATTTAAATTATTTAAAAAATTCTAAAAAAAATTATGTACAGTTTACCTATTGCATTTTGTATGTAAAACGATATTGAAGCATAATTAATTTCATTTGTGAAACAATTTCATTCTTTTTTTTTGCAAAATCTTATTAATATTATACTTCTGTTTGCGAGTATCAAGATTATGGATAATATATATGCTTCAAATTCGGACCTTATTTCATTGATAATGTGCAATCTTCTATATCAAAAATATGTTATTCTGTATTATTTTCTAAAAGAAGAAAATTGAAGATCAGTTCTTGTTATAGCGCATTTAAGTATAGCTCTATTTTCACTACTTGCAAAATAGCCCAGACGTCAGCAAGGGATTATTCTTCCACTATGATTATTCGCCATATGTATTAATGGCACGTAGAAATATATTTATTTTGTAACTCGATTACAAAAAAATATGTGATCAAAAATTTTTAATGCTTTTATACATAAAATAATTATTGTAAGGCATTACCCCATACGTACTTTTTATATTATTCTAAAAATATCATTATCGTTAGTGAAATCTGATAAATTTCAGTTTCAACAATTTTTATATCAAGACAAAGTAAATTAGAGCATTACTGGAGAATACTTTCTAATATACGCGCGGAAGACTCTAATACTAGTAAGTTCGTTTATGAAATATCATAGAATGCGGCATCATTTTTTTCTGTCATGGTGCTGCATACTGAAAAACATTATTCATTACTTTAGAATTGCGATCATATTGGTGTTGAATATGTTTGCAATTTGAAAAGTAAAAATTATTATAGAAAATTGATATAAACTAAAGTTAGTAGTTAGTATTAGTAGACGAATGAGAGTAGAGAGTCTATCTATGGCAGTAGAATAAAAAGTAAATTAATTAAATCTTACAGCCTTGTTCGCTTATTTCAAACTGTCATGATTAAATAGAGCATTCACACTCAAGAAACTGCTTAGCCATTTAAGTGCATTTACATGAATTAATGATCTTTTTATATTCTGAATAAAATGGCATTATAAATGACTAGCGTAGCACGATACAAAATACCGATTTCTTTCCAAGTAAATACAAAATTTCTTTCTCGATAAAAACGACTGTAATGATGCATTTGTCTCTGCACTCTTGTTGCGTTCTTTTTTATTTTCTAACGACCTTAAAGGAGTCTCAGATATCCCTATAAGAATAGGATATATTTAACAGTAAATATAGGTAAACATAATACAAAAATTAAGTATTGTGATTGTTTTTTCACCTAAATCGCGTAAAATTTACATTGATGACGTGAGGCTATTAGCTATTACTCTAATATCCCAGGATTCATAAAGAAAAGCAATATTGTGATTTGCGAGTAAACAGGAAACATTCACAATCGCTACACGTCTGTCCATTTATGAGGTAAAATATTCACGGTGTGGGAACAATGTTCTTCTCTTTGATGAAACCAGGGATGATGCGAATAAAATCTATTCATTTATACAACTGTACACCCTTTGTCTATCCATCATCACTTATTCGCGTAAAGGAGGACTGTTAGAAGTTCTGTTGACGTTTCCGCTTGGTATCAATGGCATCCAAAATAGGCTGTCTCTTCGTCTGATATCTTTTTCTCAGCTCATCGATCTCTCGCTCCATTTCCGCGTCCAGATTAGCCATTCGTTGCTGTAGTTCCTCATAGGAGAGAAACTTCAACTGCAGGATACGGCTTCTCTATATATTCAAGTTATCGTTTTTTTATAATGCCTAAAGCGGCATTATTTCAAATAATTTGATACAGAGAATGTGAATTGTACATTATTATAGAATAAAAAGTGATAAATTACTTTCTCCTGTTACATTAATAATCAAACATATTGCGTGAATTAATTATATAAATTCTTAAAATAAGAATGTTGGAGGAAAAAAATTTTACTCACAAAGTCAAAATCACGTTCCGTAAAAACATTTTGAAACTTTGATATATTGTTATATGGCTGTTCTGGTATGGGATGAGAGATCTGATTCTGTAACTGTAGTTGCAAATGACTTTGAAACCTATGAGATTCGATTGGACTTTGTTGCTCCAATTGGTTCGCATTTTCTATATTGTGTGCTCCCAACATCTGTCCATTACCCTAAATATACACAATATTATTTAATATTATTAATATTTTATACATAGATCACTAGAAAATTAATATGAGAAAGAAAGATTACCTTCCCGATTTCAGGTGCTTCTTTTTTATCAAAATGATCTAAGAATAATGGTCGATATTTCTTGCTGGATTCTACAGAACCAGTATTATGTCCTAAAAAGAATGTTAATTAGTTGTAAATCACTTTTCTGTTACGATTTGAAGATTAATTAAGATCTACTAACTCTTCATAGTAGCTTCAGTATCGGTATCACTATTAATAACCATTGTACCCAAGTCCAACATCGCTGAAACTAAAGTACCCGTGTCTGGAAGATCATGACTTGGTACCAAAGTCCTGCTATCTTCTGGTAATGGTTTCATAGTTCCACTACAATCGTCCTCGTCCTTATACAGAGACACAATGTTAGGTATACATGTAAATGTATATATAATACGTAAACTGCTAGCATCTCTAATTTTTCCCATATTGCACAATTAGGCTATATGAATTCAAATCACCTTTAATCAAATGAAGGATATATTATATATTTTTAATATTTTAGGTATTTTTAAATACTTTTTGATGTACATTATTGATTTACATTTAGATTAAGAGTGCAACATCAGAATATCAGATATGAAACTGACAATCCATGTGTACCTAATCGGAGGTATTGACTAGTTTTAAGTACTTACTGAATCTTCTGCTTGGTTTTGACTTTTAATCGCCACATTGTTTATAATGTGGGCTCTATGTACATTCTGTTTTTCTCGTATTTCATGAGCCTCAGCAATCATTTGACTCAAGATACTAGGCTGTTTAGCATTGCCTACATCATATAACATAAACTTGTGTGTGTTGTGTGTTAATTGATAAAATACCATAATACAAATTTTAATCTTTTACTCACCTATGAATTCATGCTGCAAAAGCTCAGTTGCAGTGGCTCTTTCTTCGGGATTTTTTACAAGGCACCCACTGACAAAGTCAATAAACTCTGGACTCCACTGATCAGGTTCTCTAAAACTAGGTGGTGGTTTAGTCGGAATCATAAATATTGCTCTCATCGGGTGTATGTCGCCGTATGGCGGCTTGCCTTCGGCCATTTCTAAGGCCGTTATTCCCAGAGACCAAATATCGGCCACGCAATCATAACCGATCTCCTGTATTACCTCTGGTGCCATCCAGAATGGTGTACCAATGACTGTGTTACGTTTAGCCATGGTGTCCTATTCCAGAGAATCTAATTTAGATTTGGTAGATTTCGGTCCAAAAATATTTTCTAATAACTCACCGTTAATTGACCCGCTACACCAAAATCAGCCAACTTTGCATGGCCTTCATTATTAAGAAGAATATTTCCAGCCTTAATGTCTCTGTGAATTTTTCTTCTCAAATGAAGATATTCCAGCCCTTTTAGAGTATCACTCAGGATTGTCGCGATTTCATCCTCTTGAAGGGTCTTCTTTCTTAACCTCATGATATCACTAACAGAACCAGCTCCACAATACTCCATCACAATCTACAAGTTGTATTAGTATCGACAAGTAGTCTAGTTTGTTTGAAACGATAAAACAAAGCATAACATCAACTTACCCATAAATCTGTGTTTTTAAAGTAACTTCCATAATATTTAACAACATATGGAGAGTCGCATTGTTGCATAATTGAAATTTCCTTAATAATCTCTTGTAAGTCGGTATCTACTGGTACTTGTTTAATAGCGAGTACTTGTCCACTTTCCTTATGCAGTGCTTTATAAACTGATCCATAGGACCTGCACAGAAGTATATATTTAGAAGCAATAAAAAAGAAACTGTCTGTTGCTATTAAAATAAATATCAGATTTACCCTTCTCCTAATTTGCATATAACATCAAACACTTCTTCTGGCTGTCTCGTCAGACTTTCTTCTGATAATTTTTTTAATTCACTAAAAATATAACAATAAAAATGTACAAAATATTTCTGCAACAAATGTTTATATCAATACTGTTAGAAAATTTGTGAAAGTATTTCTTATACATTTTGCACAAGGCTTATTTTCAGCTGGAACGATTCGAAATCTCGGTGAACTAAATTCGTCTGTCAGTTGGTCATTTTTATTTATCCGTTCAGGACTGAAAAGTTTGCTCATTTTAACAAGGTTGTTTCATCACAGGAGAGATTCCAAAGAAGGGATTACAACATGATAAACAATCGTTTAATTGCAGGTTAATAAAAGGACAAAGAATCAGAGAGGTCAATCGTCGGGGAGCCAAAAATCGTTCGCCGGAGGATTCACACTCCATTTTGTCGCTATAAATAATATCTCAAAGACAATTCGGTGCAGTCAAACCAGTGCGTGTCGAAAAGTAAAAAAGGAGAGAGAAAGAAAGAAAGAAAGAAAGAGAGAGAGAGAGAGAGAGAGAGAGAAAGAAAGGAAAAGAAAGATGCAAAAACAATCGGAATGTACCTCTTCGAAGACATCTTCGCGTCGATGTCAAACCCGGAGATCTCAAGTAAGAAGCACGTGTGCGGTTATAGAAACAAGAGTAACATAAACACGATTGAGGAGACGATTGTCATGCCGTATGAGGCGGTAACATGGCCAATTAAAAATAGAGCCGTTACATTTTTGTCAATAAATTAAGGTAACCACAAAACCGAGGTGTATCGGAGTCTTTGACTGTCGGCCATCGTAGATGGTGCGATTGACGGAGCGTTCGCGAATTCACCGGGGACAGTCCTTAAGCCCGTATCAGACTTGGACGACTCGATTTTATTTCAACCAATCACGGTGCAGAAAGTTCAGTAATCCGATACGAGTTTTACGGTTCGGTTTTGTAGAAGCAATTTTCGAAAATTCACAGGATAAGAAAATTAGACACGAGGATAGAGGAACGATAACTCCATAAAACTTAAAAAACTCAGTTTTCTTTTTATACAATTCTTTTTTAATATTTATCAGTATTATTTTTATCAGTATATAGACACTTGCTTAGTCCGGTATGTTTTCCTTATGCCTGCATTTGATTAAAATAAAAATGTCTTTACAGTACGTTCATTTTTATGAAAGCAATCGAGTTAGTTGGGTGCTATACTCAAATGTTTCTGTAGGCAAAGGGTTTGAAATCATCTCAAATGCGATCTCAAAATGCTATATTGTACGATAATTTAAATTAACTATTTTCTCAGGTAACACACAACGAAGTCTGAAATCGAAACATAAAACGTGTTTAAGACAATTCTCGCAAAATATTCCGATTTTGGACTATTAAAAATTTAATATTGTTTGAACTATTAATTATCTGAGTTAAAATCGCTATTTAAAATTACTTAAATTGAATCAACAGTCTTTATGTAATTCTTTAAGTGTATATATTTACACTGTCTTAACCAGCCTGCTGTAATACAAATGTATGTTTTAAATTATTCGCCAATTTATCAATAATTTATTGTAATACAAAAAATACTTGAGAAAGCAAACAAATTTTTATTCTGATTTTAAAAAACATGACCTTAATACGCAAAGATTCACTCCAGGTACTCGGCATTATGAAAACATAAAAATGTTCAAAAAAAGAATTTAATACAACATAAGATCGGACTATATAAATACAGAGATGTGATTTTTCGATAAACTCATTGTATATGCGATAGTCACCGCAACAAAATTCTAAGTTTGTTCTCGTTTGTGTAATCTTTGTATTTACTTTATTTCTTTGTAATGAGTAAAATTAAAATTGTATAAACGATATCTCTGTATTAAGTATCGCGGGAAAAAAAATGAGATAACGCGTGCGACTTGCATAACAAAACGCTTTATTGATCTTCAAACAAAAAGGACATCACAGTAGTGTAATCAACAAGTTAATCTAATTAATAATGATCTCAACAGTCTAATCATATCTCTTGTACGAGTGAATTTGTAAATCATGCAAATGCATAATTCAACTCACGATTTCATACATTCGTTATCCGCAAAAATATTACGCGTAATTTCTCGCGATGTTTTTGCCGATCAATATATCTAACCCAACATAAATTCTTACTTTTCTTGAATATTAATATTTTCTTATTCACAACTGAATTTTTTTTTTTTTAAAACGCGAAATTGGAATCAATTATAGTAATCGAAGTACGAACCTCTGACTTGACTAATATAATAGCGATAAAGGCAAACGGAAATCTCCCCAGATTGCTCTACAATTTAGATGATACTTATTTATTCGAGAAGTATATAATACATCGATCTTATCAGCACACATGAGAAAAGAAAACATACTTTCTCGATGAATAATACTTGGCTTCCGTATGTCGGGCGGGCGATGTTCTCTCTTTCATTATAATCTAAAAGCTACCACTTGTCTATGGAACGGACTGTGAAATTAACGCTCTTGTCGGAACGTGCTACAAGTTTGTCGCTAACGGTTATCACTGCTCTGCTGCATCTACCAGGTAGATCATCCGGGATTCGGTTGTAATTACGCGCGAAAACGCGTTACAAACAAATGCCGTCCGTAATGCCGGCAAGAATCGGCAATCGGATTCTTTTTTTTTTCTCGAGAACGCAACAAACGGAAAACACAAGAAACGATGCGCATCATTTGAAAAAGAATTCGACTTACAAGTACGAAAATCGGCATGATCGCGAGGAACGAGGAATATTTTTCTTTTGTCACGATCTTATATATTATATATGTATATTTAATCTTCGCAATACTACGTGGTCTCTGTACCAAAAACAAAAAAGTAGGTGACGCTTATAAAACGTACTCACGTAATTATAAAAGTATCCGAACATCCGGTAAAATTCTCGGAAAAATCGCAATAAAAGCTGTTAGCCAAAATGACATTGAACTTCCCTTTTTCAATGTCTGTCAAAGTTCAAAAAAAAGAAACAAACAAAAAAGAAAACTTCTGCGTGACTCTGCACGCTATGAACTTTGTAGGCGAATACTGCCTGAAAGAAAGGCACGATTGCCTTGATTACAGCAAACGAAGCAGTTTCGTTGTATGCATGTCGGAAAATTATTACGTAATGGATTTCGAAGATCCTAATCTTAAATCCACCGCGAAAAATCGCTGCCTTAAATCGCAATGCAAAACGTATGTCGGAGAAGATGAAACGTCCTCGTAATTGAGAAAACCACGGAAACAATCATTCTAATCTAATTTATACAGTCGTAACATTAAAATACAGCGTGGAATTCATCCTTAAACATCTCACTAACTTACAACGTTTTATCGCGCGGCACGTTCGCTCAAAACATAAACGCCACTCTTCTCGCTCTGAATCTCGGCTGGATGTATCGATTGAAACAGAAAAAACAAAAGTGGTGCCGGCGTCACACAATATGAAATGTATCTGCAAACAGACGAAGGGGAATGATCAACGAAGATCCGCAACGAATACACGTCGAGAAACGACTCCACTGTAGGCAAGAGAACAGAGACAGCGGCCGTACGATGATTCGCGATTCGAAACAACACTGTTACGCGGGAGAAGGAACACGTAAACAGTTGGTAGCAGGCCGCGATTGTTCGCTCGAGTGTTACTTGATCGGCTTGCCCCAAGCAAATTGTATTCCCAGTCGGGGGATATCGCTGCCGGTGGACGATTCGTCCTCGCTGCTGGACGCCGACGTTTCCTCGGAGATCATCGCTTCCCCGCCAGCTTCCTGGGGTCTCTGACCGCCGCCGACGTTGCAATCATCCGCCGCCGCTGCTGCCGCTGCCGCAGCGGCTGCTACTGCGGCGGCCACTGCAGAATTTACGGCTGGTGCCGTAGACGACGTGGAAGACGATGAAGAAGATGACGAGGAAGGTGACGATTGGTCTGTCCTAGGACGTCGCCGCGAGACCGGCGTCGAGCTGAATGAAGGCGCCCATGCGGTCGCCTCTTCCACTGCTGCGGTCCGCGCTGAATCACACGTAGTAGAGATACTTTTCGATCTCGCTCTGGTATCTATGGCAGGTCTAGTGTTCGGCGTCAACCTGAGCGATCCTTGCCTAGACACTGTCGTTGCGCCCTCAGAGGACCTGGCAACTTTCGGCAATGTGCTAAGCGAGTCAGACGTTCCCCCCTTAGATAGATCGTCGATTTCCAGCGTCCAAGAAACGGAGGCGCCCTTCTCGACCATGAACTTCACCATCGATGACGAATGAGCGCCATTTTTATCGAGCGAATAGCTGTGTTCCATTTGTTCCGCACCTGCGGATCGAGTTAACCGTGGATTAAGCTGATTCGCAAGAACGCTCACCCAGTCGTTCTTGTTTCGTAGCTTCCACTGTAGCTCCTCGTTTCGCTGGGACAGCCGCTTGTTGTGCTTTGAAACTTGGTGAATCGATTCGTGAAGCATTTCGTTCTCGTGCGAGATCTGCCGTTCGAAGGATTCTTTTCGTTGAAGCTGAGCCTTCAAGTCCTCGCATCTGGCCTCTGCCATATCAAGCCGCAATTGCAAGGCGTCCTTTTCCTCGATGTCCCGCCTGTAACTGTCCAGCTCTGATCGAAGAGCCGCATTCTCTTGACTTTTCAACTCGAGCACAGATCTCAGTGATTCGATCTCCGCCATCAGCGCCGCACCCTGATCGTGAACCACGGATCTTCTCATCTCCTCTTTGCGAGCTAGCTCATTGATCTGCTCGGCACGTAATTTCGCAATTGTCGCGCGATGTTCCCTCGTGACTTCATCCAATCTGATGTCGTATTTGTGCCTTTCTTCTTTTAAAGTTTCGACGAGCGTGGCAACCTGTTTCGTCCTAAGAGCCTCCACTGAAAAACCGGAATATCAATTTGAATTTTTCATTTTCAGATGACAAACTGCTATAATCTGTATCATCATACTTTATGTGAAAAATTTAAATACATGATTTGTTCTCTAGTATTCCTAATCAACTTTTTATTTTTTGTTATTATTTGAATATCAATTGAAATATCAATAGATATATTATTAATATGTATTAATATGACAAATTAATACACATTAATGATATACAATCCTCCATCGGCAACGTGGAGACTACTCTCTGAAGGCACTATTAACATTTTGATTGTAAATTTTGAATGAATTTAAATCTAAAAATTAGTACAATACAATTCGACTATAATGATAAAAATTTCTTGCTAAAGCTTAGCAAAGATATCAGAAATTTTTCAGCTTTTTATATAATTCGAAGCAATAAAAAATTTGCTCTATTTCGCAAAGATTTACATTGCTGACGAAAAAGTTAAAATTCATGTTGCCGATAATAAAGAGTTATAATGCTCTATTTTCATATATATTTACTTTTTTATTTTTAACTTACATCTCTTTTATTTTTTAATTCGTCTATTAGTGTTTACTTATCGCATTAAATATATGCATAAAAAAAAGTTATTAAATGAATAATAAATAAAGATCCCATGTTTCGATTATGATTCCAATTTTATAATTTAATATAAATATACTTTATATTGGCCCTGAGAGTTGAAAAGCAAAAGTATATACAAAGCTAAACGGAGAGCACACATTGAATCTATAATTAGCGGCTATCGAAACGTCGAACGTTACGTGAGAACTAAATTAAGAACCAAATCCTTCAGCGAAGAGTTCGAGATATTTTCTAGCAAGAAAAAGAGACGACAGGCATATTATTAGGA